CTCCGTGAGCAGTATCAATTCAAGATGATAATATGTTGAGTCCTGAAAATAAATGGCCTCAGAAATTTTTTATGCAATGGCGTACTTAAGTGACTTTGGTAGAGGCCATTTCACTTTTGTGACAGCAATAATAGTAATAATTATAAACATTATTTAACATCCGGTGTTTAAAGAATGATAGCAATTATATTCATGATAAATTAAAGGCATTATTTCGCATTAGACTTAGTTAAAACGCGAAGGTTATAAAACCAGTATGGCATGGTCTTTTGTATGGTCGCGGTCTATAAGAGAAGTCATGCCGGAATAATAGTCAATTTTGAGTGTCATCACAAGTACAGAATGAAGATAGGAATAGCGAGGAGCATGAGTATCAGAAATCTACGATTAGCAGATGTGGGATTCTGGGATGAAGAATAGGAAAAAGTTACTTAGATATTATTCGGTAACGGATACCCAGGAGAAGTAATAGAGAAACAAACTGGCCGTCAAGAGCCGATGGCAGGACGAGGATCACGAAATAAAGATAAAGATGGGCTGTGACCCAAGGGCACTCGCGGCAACATGGACGAGTGGATGACGTGTCAAGCTCACATTCTGCACTATCACGGTTTGACTCCCATTGAGCGAGTTGATAAGACCTATGCGAGGTCGAAACTGCAGTCCAACTTAGATGAGAACAACTTTTGGGAAAGCAAGGCTATTTGAAATTCAATGGAAACGTCAGCTCCACTCATATCATTGTGGGAAAATTCTACTACCAATCCTTAATCACATTAAACGAAATAGGGTGAATACATTTCATATAAAGATGAGGAAAGACTCACAAAAGTGGATATGTCTCCCTTCCTGCAAACTAGCTTAAAAACTACGGATAATATTAAGAAAATGAAATATTCAGGCGACTACGAAGTAAAAAACTACAATCTTCAAAATCTACCCACGCAACATGAAAGGGTGGACAAATTGGATTGCTCAAGAGTTTACCGCATAGCACACGGCGGCTGCGAACAGAAATATATTGGCGAAACTTGGAGAAAAATCAGCATACGAATCAAGGAGCATCAGATGGTCTGCATGAAAATGGATACTGAAAGATTAGATATAGCGGAACACATCGCAGAGACTGGATAGAAGATAAATCGGAAGGCAACTGAAAGAAGGGCCTTATACAGTGAAAGCACAAAGAAATAGAAGATTAGGTAGGCCATTTACATCCTTGGTGGAAAAAATTAATGAACAGGATATTGAAAGAAGACAGAGTTAGTGATAAATCTGCCTATTGCCTAATCAAACTCGGATAAAACATGGATGCAACAAGACAAACAAGTAAACCAGAGGAAAAAGGATTACAAGGTGAGGAAGTTTCGGAAATGAAGCAAAGACGTTCTCAGTGAGTGTAGTCAACTCGAACAAACAACTACAACCTTGGGGTTCTGACGTTTCACGTGACTAGAGGGACGGATTGGGTCCCAGAAATTGGGCGTTATGATCAAATTGACTAGTAATCCACTTGAGGTGCAACAAGCAACCAGAGATAGATGTCCACAGTTTGTTCAGCCTACACGGGTTTAATCTAGGGGATGATGCGTGAAAGTAATGCCTAATATCCCCAAGCAAGGGAATCAGAGCCTAGGCCCTCTGCAGATAAAGCGACTTTGTACGTGCTACTAAAGACTTGATAAATAGCACCTCAAGTAAAAGTACACTAGGGCTGGAACTGAGTGAAATCGGTCAACCAGAAAGATAAAAACTGACCTAAGGGCCCATGAAGCAGAAGTTGTGATAGGACGAGGGAGAGACAAGAAGGTAGGAAATGGATAGAAGAACCAGGACAAAACTAGAAGTGACAGCACAACCATTTAACTGAAAGTTAATTAAGGGATTGCTTTCACTTTTGACGAGTGGTAGCTTGGTGCTGAGAATGGTAAGACTTATTGACGATGCTGGTTAAACGTCTGGGAATGTACAAAGTCCAAGGTCCGACTCTGAAAATAAAGATGCATACTATGAACTCCGGACAAGGTGCGTTCCTCTAGGTCTTCCTGTCAATATGACCATGTTGCGAAAACAAGGTCAAACAATTTATTAATTGAAATGCACCTAATTTTTTTAATGCATGTCACGATGTATCTCAAAGCAGAGAAAATTCATCGTAGATATAATACTCATCAGATCCTGTAACATAATACAAAATATTGTGCATCTAGTCAGAGCGCTGATACCAACGGCAGAGTATAACAACATACATATTATATAACAACCTGTTTAGTTGTACTGTATCAGCTGTGAGCAGGTACCTCCAGATATCGAGCATGTCGCACCAACCAGAAGGTATAATGCCTGATTCGCTCTTCTGAGCTATATCAGCCCAGATCAGCAGTCGGCCAGCAAGCTCAAGCAAACTGGCTAAAGCGATATTCAAATCTGTCCCCAGGAATTCAGAACACGCGGACATATTAGATTTCAAGGCAACAGTTTGGCTAGTCGATGATGGAGAAGGCAGGCATTTGTCGGCTTTAAAAATCAGGCGGCGGAGCGAACATAGGAGACTAGGTGCCCAAGAGAAGAAAGGATGTTTGCGGGTGCACGTTAATGAAATGAATACTTGACGTTGGAAATGCTTCTCAAGCCTGCCAAAGGCTACTATACATTTGGTGAAAAGTGTTACCGCGGGTGTCGAGGCGATCAACTGTTGAGAAGACACAAGGATAAATTTAAAACTCATTTAACCATGAGATAAATAAATAAATTTTAATGAATAAGCCATTACTTATGAGAGGAAGTTCAGATTTAAATAGGATATTATGTCAAGATGTACATTAGGGTTTGAAGCCGCATGTTGTCAGATTAAAAAACCAAGCTGGTCGCTTGAGTTAGGAATCTGATCTTTTATAGAATGTTTTATTTAGTTTGCGGTGTTACGATTCTGTTACAAAAATTTTACTCAAAAGGTACAAAGCTGACATTTGACACAAAACTCTCCGCCCAAGATCTAACAGTATATCTTAACCTTAATGCAAAAAAATGTAGAGAAATTTGCCCATTTAATCTAAGTATATTACTGGTAGGCCATATCCCCTAACCTATAAGCACCTTCTGACTAGTGTAGAGCAAGTAAAGTCTGTTCTGGATCCTTTCGGAGACTTCTATTGCCTTTGAACTTGCGTTAAGGAGGGGTTGTCTTTTCATTGCAACAAGTTAACCAGAGTGAAAAATTTCAAGTTAATATAAACGAAAAATATAAAACACGGGTTTTGTATACAGGCAAAGGGTTAATAGGTACCTGCGATGAAAGACAGAAATAAAAGGCATCAGAATAAGAAACAATGATGAATATGTGGTGAAAAAAAAGCGAAGTCTATGTTTTATAAGCTAATATCTATTGTTGCATGATTTGAAAAAATCAAAGCGCGGATAGGTCACTTACGGCCCTGTCAATATCTCCAGAGTTGAAATGATCTTCTGCAGACAAACAGTTGAAAATCGGACGAACCAAGCGATCGGCTAGGCCAGATAAAAGCGCCCTGGCAAAATTGCAGGCTGCCTCATAGGTTGATTCGAGTTTAGTAGTTTCTTGGATTTTAGCTGTTGGCTGCTGAGACGAATTGATTACCACTGCTGCTTCTCCTGCCTCTAAGCTGGCAATCGACAACTCTTTGGTAGCCTCATCTGCCAGGCAGGTTATGTAGTCGGAGAAAAGGCCAACCAGTTGGTCGGCAGGTATCAGGCAAGGCAATAAGGCAGATGTCTGTTGAAGACTGGGGGATAAAGGCAGCTTGAGCGCCGTGGTTGAGCTTGATTGGGGCTCAATCCATTCATCAGGTTGATCCATTGCCGAATAATCGGTTGTTTGTGGACTGGCTTCAACTTTACGCCCACACGATAAGTCAGCGTTGCCTTGAATTTCAC